CGGAATGTGCATTGCCTTCTTTCCAGGCAATTATTTGGATAGGTGCTTCCTTCGGTCAGTGGGACCCACCCACGGGTCTCCGTTTGATAATCAAAACCCGTTCAATATGTGCAACTCGTACGACGTACCTTATATGTTTGTAAAATCACGTTGATCGCTATATATTGCTGAACTACATGATCAATATCAGCTTTGTGTATAAAACATAGATGGTGGTTATAGTTAACGGTTGAACTAAAAAAGATGAGTTAAAATCAGGTCTTTTTAGTATAAAAAATGAATGGTATCTATATACGTTAACCGGTTGATCCAAGTGATATAATAATCACTTATCAGTTTGTAGAAAAAGAGATGGATGTGTATATATGGTATAACGTTTATTACAAAAAAAACTAATCCGATCAGTATTAGATTTATAGAAGTAATCCGATCAATCGTGTGATTATTTATACAAGCATATAGTACTGGAACGAGTTCTACACATTGAAGTGAGTTCGGCATATTATCAAAAGATGGGACAAGCTGATTTGGGTATTCCCCCACAAGCCCACAATTACTGTCACAACTTTTCAGTGATATATAAAATAATCTAATTTTATTGTTTTGTATCTTTTCAGTAACGAGTACTTCCTTCCATTAATGTTAGTACTTTCACACAAGTGGTAAAAATTGGTTGTATTAAATATTAGTATACTATGTAATGGAAAGAGAAGGAGACACACATTAGGTAGAACCATTCGGACTCCGTCAAGTCCTCCGGTGACAAGGCAGCACAAGGCCGCCGTGTTTGCTGGTTTGACTCTCCGGCAGAGAGTGAATCGTAGAGCTCTCTCAACTGCTGGCTTCTTTGGTTTTAAATTTTTGAATTCAATTTTTTAGAAATTGAGTCTTTTGTTTTTCGTATTTTTTATTTTTAGTGAATATTTTTAAAATTTTAAGCAATTGTTTTTACATTTTTAGATGCACCTTATTTAGATGTATCTAAATAATAAAATATTTGTGAAAAATATTTTAAAAAATTAATAAATACACAAAAATACAAAAAAAAAATGTGCTGAATTTTCGTTTTTTTTTTTTTTGGTATTTAGTGAATTTTTTAAAGATTTTTTTCTCAAATATTATACTTTTTAAGTATATTTATGTCAGGTG